GAGAGACGAATGTACCAAGAATAATTACTTGATTTCTGGTATTTTATGGGATGGTTGATGGGAAAGAAAATCACATAGATAATTCTTATGGATGATAGTTGATTAAGAACATGTAATCTCAAGTCCCAACTATATCACTTACTGGTTGTGTGATTTTGAGTAAGTTAACTTTTCTGTACCTTAGTTTTCTCATGTGTAACACTGTGATAGTAATTAGATCTACCTCATAAGGCTGCTTTTTGAGGATTAACTAAAATGACACATAGGATGCTTAATGTGGTGTTTAGTATTCAATACATGCTAGCTATGTTATTGTCATGGTGTTATTTGTAATGACCTTATCATTTAAAAAATATTTCTTGACATTTCTGAAATATATTTTTCCAAATGAAGTATTCCCTTTGTCAGTGACTCTACTCAAACTTATACTAATGATGAAAGTGACCTATCCACTTGGGAGTGTCATGAGTTACTGGATTCTGGTTACTGGTGTCTTCTCCCAAGAACTGTATGAAAGATGAGATAGGTCTGTGCCACTATCTCAGGAACCTGGGATGGGTTTAGCAGTATGCAAGTATGAATTCATTTTGCTTTTACATCTCCATTTGCATACAAACTATTAAATCTCAAATTCTGAGGAAGAACAGGACTGTAGCCTGTTTGTCCTGGCTGTGTAGTGAGCACCCCTATGGGGCAGAGAGAAGAATCTGGTTTTATTCATTGGAACTTAACAACAATAAATAGGCGTGGCTCAGGATGAGGCATGAACCTTTCCTGTAATTCTCCTAAAGGGAACTTAGTGGGGAGTGGAGGGAAAGAGACACCTGTCTTATTTAAAGAGGGCCAAAACAATACAAAGCCTTTCCTGACCATGGGAACCCTAGTTGATCTTCCTTTTCTTTGAAGTCCTTCTGTACTTATTTCCTCAACATACAATTTAATCCTTAATTATATCGTGTCATGCTATTGAATTTCATGTGTGTTACTCTCATCTCTCCAAAGAGATTGGGAGCAGCTTTAGGGAACAGATCATGTTTCCTTTCTTGTAAGATTCAGATGCCGAAAATATAAAGAGCTGAATAACCATACCATGTGTTGGGAAATTTGGGAAAACAGATTGCTTTGGTTCAATTGGAAAAACTGGTTCATTATATGGAGAATAACACCTGGGTCCCTACCTAACATCATACTCAAATGTAGACTCCATATACATGAAAGACCTAATGTAAAAGACCAAACTATAAAGTTAATAGAAGAACTTATAGTAAAGTGTTTTAATATAGAATTAGAGAGAGGGAATGACTTCATGAAAACCTTATCAACACAACAGTAAAGCAAAGAGAATTGTTGAATATGATTATTTCAAAATTATAAATCTCTGCTTTTAGGAAGCATGGCCCAAATTAATAGCAGACAGACTGCATAATGTCTGTAGCCAATGTCTGTAGCCAATGGGTTGTTTACATTGGAACTCCTGCAAAGCAATGCTAATAAAACAAAGCAGCCTTAACAGAAAAAAAACAAAACAAAACAGGCAAAAGAAAGGTAGAGGCAGTTTATGGAAATGAAAGATCAAAAGGCTATCAAGTAGATATAACAATGCTCAAGTTCATTAGCAATTAGAAAAATGCAGACTAAATCACAAAGGTAGAGGCAGTTTATGGAAATGAAAGATCAAAAGGCTATCAAGTAGATATAACAATGCTCAAGTTCATTAGCAATTAGAAAAATGCAGACTAAATCACAAAGTGGAATCATCAATCCACTCCCCTTCCATACCTCTGATTCTATTATATTCAACAGTTAATATTGTTCATCAGGTTATTTAATTCCCTTGTGTTGTTTTTTTTTAATTTTTTTTATTGGCTTCCAAAGGGGAGTTTAAGGTCAAAAGGAGTTTCGGGTGTGCCCAGATCCTATTCATCAAAATCTGGATAAGCTCCCTATTTTTTGGTTCAAGATTTAGCATCAGGGTGAGTCCAGGTCCTATCTATCAAGTAGATATAACAATGCTCAAGTTCATTAGCAATTAGAAAAATGCAGACTAAATCACAGATACAACTTAGTGATTGGCAGAAATTAGAAAGCTAATACCAGGTGTTAGTGAATATGTTGGGACATGGGGATCTTCAAGCATGCAGATGGGAGTGCACACTGATGCAGTCACTCTAAAGAGCAAGCCAACACCAATTACTAGTTAAATTAAGTGTATACACACCTAATGACCCAGTAATTCTGCTTTCCGAAGAACTTGCATGGGTTCATAAGGGAATAAGGAGGAGGCTGTTTAGGGCAGCATTTCTTGGAATAATGGGAGGAGGTAAAACATGGTAGGTATATACTATGAATCATCATGTAGTTGCTAAGCGCAATTAATTAGATGCATATTTAACAACATAGATCTTAACAAATTTCAGTAAAAATGTCTGAAACAAAAGTTATACAGTGGACTGAATATTTGTTTAACCCAAAACCCCCAAGGTAAAGATATCAGGAAGTGAGCAGATATTGGGAGGTAATCCTATCTGATAAAGAGGGAATATGCAAATTGACCATCATGCTGTCACACAGATGGCGGAGCCCATAGCCACAAGGTGAAGGTGCCTAGTCCCCTCAGCCCCTTTGGAGTCCCCAAGTCCTTTCAGCCCCACCAGGGTAGCAGGTGCATGGTGCATCCGGATTTGCCCTTAGCCCCCCAGCCACCCAGGGCCAGCCCGAGGTACAGGCAAGCCTCGGATGGTGGATGCCCAGCTGCCCAGGGCCAGCTGAGGTTTGCACTTCCAGCAGTGGCAGCAGCAGAGGTGTGATAAGGGCATCGCCTTCCCCTGATCACCGGGTTGCCTCCCACCCCTAAGGGCTCCTGGTCTGTGAGAGGAGAAAGACTGGGCTGAGGGAACCCATCTAGTGCATGAATTTTAATGCACTAGGCCTCTAGTTAGGCCATAAATGAATTGGTACCCTTACAAAAGAGAATCCAAAGGCTATTTAGCTCCATGCTATCCATCCTGTGAGATACTCCAAGAAGTCTATGGTCTGGCCTGAAAGAGGGCCCTGACAGAACCTGATTATGCTGGTGCCATGACTTTAGGCTTCCAGACTTTGGAGCTGTGAGAGATGACTCTCTGAAGTTTATAAGCCACTCAGTCTGTAGTACTTTGGGAAGCAGCCAGACATGACTAAGACAATGATTTATATTATAACACAAAGAATAATTAAAGCACGCACATACAAAACAACAAAAAGTATTTTTTGCAAAAATGAATACAAACAGCCCTAACCTGTTTGGTTCAGTGGATAGAGCATCAGCTTGTGGTCTGGAGGATCCTAGATTTGATTCAGGTCAAGGGCATGGACCTTGATTGCAGGCACATCCTTAGTAGAGGGTATACAGGAGGCAGCTGATTGATGTTTCTCTCTCATCGATGTTTTTAACTCTCTATCCCTCTCCCTTCTTCTTTGTAAAAAATCAATAAAATGTGTGTTTGTTTTTTTTAAATGAATACAAACAAAAGTCTACTCATGAAATACAGAATGGTTGCCTGCAAGGGGAGATGAACGGGAGTGTACTATGAGAATAAAGCATCATAAATTGTGATGCCTAGAGAAGGCCTTGCATGTACTCAGGATGATAGTGTGTCATTACCTAACTTAGCCTTTGCCTCTAAGGCTTCTCCCTTCCTAGAAATGCATGCTATTTTGAAACCTAAAAGTCTACTTCCAAACACAGTTCCTTTACAGATGTACTTTATCATTTCTTTTGCTTTCTTTTAAAACATCTACTGCATTCTTGTTCATTCACTTCAATACAGCAAATATCTTAGCCTAAAGCAACAACAATGTTGGGAAGAAAACATAAAATAAAACACAAAACACAGATTTTTAACTGTCCCAACATTTACTATAACATTTCCCATTGTTCAAAGAATTTGCATACCATTTTAATTACAGTATTCTCATATTTTTCATTGAGGAAGTTATGTGGAGTTTCTCAGGATTAGAGGAATAAAGGAAGTACTAGAGTATGTATATAGTTTTTAACTGATATTCATCAAGAACTGATTACAAATTCTATTTTTTAAGGTGCCAAGAATATAGAAGAATTTAAGGATGTATATAAATCTATAAATGATTATTGATTTGGGGGGTATGAAACTTCAATATAGGATAAGTATGCATGATTTAATAGTAATTGAAAATATACATTATAAACCTCATCTCTATATTTACCATATGCTGTAATTGAAAATGCCTATGACAAAGATTGGATGGTGATATGGAAAAATATAAATTAACTTAAGGGAAAAAAGAAAATGTTTTGAGGGGAAAAAAGTTCTTTGACTAAAACAAACCAATACAACTGTTATTTTTACATCTTTAAAATAACTGTATGTCTGTGTTAACAGGAAAGTTAACTTGAACTTAGTGTTTAAGTGAGCATTCGCAGGTATCCTGAGCAGAATTATTTTACAGCTAAGTTTACTTTTTTTTTTTTTTTTTTTTTCCCTTTTAGGAGCATTCTTTAATTTTAGTTTAAAAAATGTGTTAGCATTACTTATAAATTGTAATAAGTCTGAGTATTTTAACTTTATTACTATGGTTGTAAGAGAAAATGAATATTTATGATCATCTTTCCACATAGATTTAAAAACCTTTAAAATTTTAAAATGGGGTCTCCAAAAACAAGCATGTGGCCTTCAAATAACCACTTCTGATATGGTTAAGCTTTCCCATTTGGGTCATATTGTGGCCTCAGTTCTTTCACATTTAAATGAAGTAGTTGAGTCAGAAAGAGTGGTTTATCAGAACGACCCATTTGTTAGACATGCTGACACTCTTGCTCCCCTCCCTTCAGAGGGTCTGGAGTGGGACCTCGGCACCTGCAAGAGGATTCTGGTGCAGGTCGTCTGAAACTTACGTTTTGAAAAATATTGAGTGAAATGATCTACAAAACCCTTTCTACCTGCATTATCCTATGATAGGAATAATTGTATCTGACTTACCAAGTTTTCACTTATCTCTTTTAAGTCCTTAAGTTGGTATACGCCATTGTGTCCAGAATTACCATTGGTTCGTACATCTAAAATTTTAAAGCTACCATGATAATACTCTGTTTTCTGGCCTGTGGTGAAAAAAAAAAAAAAAAAAAAAAAAAAAAAAAGCAGAAAATGAAGTGATTTGGGCAAAGAAAATTCAGAATCCAACTATAATGAAGCTAATATGGTCTTGAATATATTGCTGAGAGCCTTTCTAATTTAGTTTAATAAAAAGTATAGTGAAAATGATGATTAATGCTGCCGATTAATAACAGTAGCTTATATTTATTGAATGCCTATTATGTGCCAAGCCCTATTCTGGGCACTCTGCATGTAGTATTTCCTCACTCCAGCTCTCTAAGATTATAATCACCTCCATTTCACCAATGAGAAAAGTGAGGCTGAGGTGTTAAGAAATTTGACCTATGCTATGGAGGCAGTAAGTGACCTACCTGGGTTTTAAACCCAGTCAGTCTGGCTCTAGTCCTAGAATGTTTAATTACCATATTACTCCTTGCTGGGGTGAAGTGTATGCCATCTTATACTCTACTGGAAGTAGTCGTAAATAAAAATCCTTTTTTGTGTGTTTTCACTATTTTTTTTAAAAATAAATCTTTATTGTTCATATTATTACAAAAGTTCCTCATTTTTTCCCCTCCACCAGGTTCCTACCCCACCCTCTGCCCTTTCCCCACCGCCCTTGTCCTCATCTATAGATGCACAGTTTATGTTCATTCTCTTCCCACACCCCCCACTCCTCTTTTCCCTGAGAATCATCAATCCACTCCCCTTCCATACCTCTGATTCTATTATATTCAACAGTTAATATTGTTCATCAGGTTATTTAATTCCCTTGTGTTGTTTTTTTTTAATTTTTTTTATTGGCTTCCAAAGGGGAGTTTAAGGTCAAAAGGAGTTTCGGGTGTGCCCAGATCCTATTCATCAAAATCTGGATAAGCTCCCTATTTTTTGGTTCAAGATTTAGCATCAGGGTGAGTCCAGGTCCTATTTGTTCCTCATTCCAAGCACATGGATTAAGAAATCAGTACTGATAAGAGGATTCTGCCAGTGCCCTTGGTCTCAGCTGTTAAGAATTAAAAGAATGTCCATGTGCCTTCTCAGGCAGCTCTCTACATCTCACCCTTTTTTACTAATTAAAATAAAATTTAAACATCAATAATAAGGCTCTAAAATTAAAAACAATTACAAGCTACTTCTTAAATCATGTTCCTGCTCATGCTAGCATCTGTTAGCTTCCAGTCTTCTGCAAAGTCTTGGGCAGCAAATCCAAGGACTCTACACCAGCAACAAAAGAGACTCATTTAGTAGCTAAAAATAATAATATGTCCATAATTCTGATTTCTCATTTTGCTGTTTTGCATTGGCATTGTTGTTATTATTTAATAGCCAGAGTTTTGCTCTTGACATTCAAGTTTTGAAAATAACATGTATGTGGTTTAGTTTTTGCATTGGCATTATTTGCAATTGTTTTTAATTTTAGAGCCCTATTATTGATATTTTCACTTATTTTTTTAATTAATTTTTAAAATAAAAATCTTTATACATTTTATTTTGTAATGTGAGAACCAAACACACTAAGAAATACATGAAAACAAAGGCAGGGAAACACTATCAGGTTGGTAGTGAGAACAGTGTGTAACTGGAATGAACTAGTAAGAAAGCAGAGAACACAGAGAACTGTGGAAAAAACTGAGGTATTTGGTAATCTCAGGATCAACGCCTCTAGGTGAAGGGTGGGTGGGCAAGAAAGCTATGAGAGAGTTAAAAATTGAGCACAGAGCAACCACAAAACAACCTTTCTCCTTGGGGAGCCTGGCACAGAGAGGACATGATGAGGGTTTCCCAGGGACCTAGGAAAGAAACAGGGGTCCCGGGATGGTCTCTCTCTCCTAAGTGGGACATCTCTGGATCTGGAATGCTTTTTTAGTGCCCCTGATACTTATTTATACAATCCACAATGATCCATCTTTTTAATCATAGCAAAGGAGTTTTTGTGCAATCAAATTAACTGACCTAAAACTCTTTCCCATCATGTAAACTATAGGTTGGATTGTTATATTGGAGCCAGAACTATGTTCTTAAGCCCTTTAAAGCTCATAACCGAGTCTTCAGTCCCTCATCAAGTTCGAGGAAAGTGACAGCAGATAAGACCATTCAAGTTAGCAGCCTGAACTACTCTGTTTTCCCGAAAATAAGACAGTGTCTTATATTAATTTTTTCTCCCAAAGTTGTGCTAGGTCTTATTTTTAGGGGATGTCTTATTTTGGGGGAAACACGGTAGTTGTTATATCACATAATCTGGGTCAGTCACATTGTAGAGATTTGTCAAAAAAACGTAAATAGATTTTACTCTGTGTGGAGAAAAATGTCATGTTAGAAGACACAATTCTAAAATGCATTGTTTGTGTGATTATAAATATATTAGGCAATGCAAAAAATCCCTGAATATTATTTTGGAGATGGCAAATTTTTTTCTAAAAATTAGTGAAAACATTGTGTCACATTTATAGTTTACCAGTCATTTAAAAATTAATTATTTTCTTGGACATGTGCTTTGCTTTTAGCTTTGAAATGTTGGTGGACAGAAAAATGATGAGTAAAAGAGCCAATTTTAGTTACAAATTTAGTAAGTAATTTATCATAGTTTTTTCCTTGAATGTACAATGATGATTAGAATATATTATGATTACTATCTTTGATCTTTTGTGTATTTCTCAAAAGAATACTAGATTGTGAGCTCCAAAGATATAGGGAATTGGTCTGCTTTGCTTAATGCTCTATCTTGAATACTCAGAAAAGTAATTAAATTACATATAGTAGGCATTCAGTTATTAGTTATTGATGAAATAATTGAATAAATAAAAATATTCAGAATGTGGGCATTTACAGGTAAAAGTACAAATGTTTTTTGGATGAAACTACATTTACATAGTATGCGAGTGAAGCTTTACAGAAAAATGAACTCAAACAGAGTGAAATCCATAATTTTACCTACCAGAGACTAAGAAGTGAGCCAGAAGAGCAATGGTCACTGCCACCACAATCAGCAATAACACAACCAGAAGGGCAATCATCCATGGTTTCAAACTTCGGCTTCGGGTGCCAAATCCTACTGGTCTGCATAAAGGAAAACTCACCAGTAACTCTTACATAGTCATTGTTACAGGCTTTCTGATACTCCTTGAATAAGTAAAAATTGCTTTAGCTTACCTTTCCCAGCAAGACGATATTTGTCTTCCATTTTGGTCAAGGTCATCTTGGTGTGAGGGGAGGTGTGGAAAAGATAAAAATTTGGGAATCTAGAATATTGCTTCTGTCTTCTACTTCTATTTCTATTGATGGCTCTCTGTCGTGGTCAGATCTGACTTTCCTTAACAGTGTGGTCCAAAGTAGCATGCATGCTTGAAAAAGGACCATTTCTTCTTTCTCCGGTACTTTTAAAAACCATATCTAAGGGTATTTGTCTACCCTTTTAGAGTATACAAAGTGATTTCAAATCTATAATCCCATTTACATTTTTAAAATTTGTCTTTACAGTTGAAAGTATTACAAATGTTTCCCTTTCCTCCCCCACTTTGATCCAATCTACCTGCTCCTACTTCCTCCCCAAGTCTTCCCGACAATATTGTCTGTGTATAGGCTATGAATATACTAGTAAATTCATTGATTAATCTCTTCCATATCCCTCCCCTTTCTTCTGAAACATGTCAGCCTGTTACTTGCTTTAATGTTTCTGGATCTTTTTTGTTCATTAGTTTATTTTGTTCATTGGATTCCACATATAAGTGAGATTATGTGATACTTGTCTTTTTCTAACTGGCTGACTTCACTTAGCATAATACTCTCACGTCCCTCCATGATTTCTCAAAGGGTAAGAAAGTACTCATCCATATCAACAAACAACCTGATTAAAAAATGGGTAGAGAACCTGAATAGGCACTTCTCCAAAGAAGACATACAAATGTCCGAGAGACATGAAAAAATATTCAACATCACTAACCATCAGAGTGATGTAAATTAAAATGATGATGAGGTACCACCTCACACCTGCTAAAATGGCTACCATCAACAAATCAACAAACAACAAGTGCTGGTGAGGATGTGGAGAAAAGGAACTCTACTTAGTACACTGCTGGTGGGAATGCAGATTGGTATAACCACTGTGGAAAGCAGTTTGAAGTTCCTCCCTCCACCGCCCCCCCCCCCAAAAAAAAAGGAATTACCATTTGACCCAGTAATCCCACTTCTAGGAATCTATCCTAAGAAGCCAGAAACACCAATCAGAAAGAATATATGCACCCCTATGTTTATAGCAGTGATATTTACAATAGCTAAGATCTGGAAACAACCCAAGTGTCCATCAGTAAATGAGTGGGTTCAAAACTGTGGCAGGTAAATTTATACACTGTAAAAAAGAAGAATATCTTACTCCATTTACTTTTTATATTTTATTTTTAACTGGCTGTGGAAAGGCAGTGTGTCCTCTGATGGACAAGAACTAAGATGATATGAGCTAAAAGCAGAAGATCCATGGGGAGTAACATTACTTATTCTTTTAAATGGCTTAAAGTCTAAAAATTCAAATATGAGGGAGAATTTAGAGACTGCTTAGTATAGTTTAATGCATTTTCTAGATGAGGAAACTGAAGCCCAGAGAAGAAAAAGTCATTTCTCTAATATAATAGAACCATTAATAATATTAAACTCATGAATTTTCACTCTTTCAACCATTTTTTTTTCCCCAAGGCCAGACTGCTTTTCCATTGGTTGCATTTTAATTTTTAAATATGTTTATTATTGCCAAAACCGGTTTGGCTCAGTGGTAGAGCGTCAGTCTGTGGACTGAAAGGTCCCAGGTTCGATTCCGGTCAAGGGCATGTACCTTGGTTGCGGGCACATCCCCGTAGGGGGTGTGGCAAGAGGCATCTGGTTGATGTTTCTCTCTCATTGACGATTCTAGCTCTCTATCTCTCTCCCTTCCTCTCTGTAAAATATCAATAAAATATATTTTAAAAATATGTTTGTTATTTATATAGTTATTTAGTCACTCACTCATTTATTCTTTATACATTTAACCATTCATTTTCTCAGAGAATCTTATCAGTATCCAAGTCATTTAAACACAGACACACACACACACACACACACACACACACACACACCACACAAAGAACCAAAGAAATAAGGCTAGAACTCAAGGAGTTTTATGAACTTAAATCTTTCTGCCATTTGGCCCACTCCATTTTCAAAGCCAGTGATGGTGAATTTCTCTCACTTTAAACTCTCTCATATTCCAAATTTCTCTCCAGGTAGAGCCTTGTCCTTTTTTAATCCTCAGCTGAGGATATGTTTTTATTGATTTGAGAGAGAGAGAAAAGGAGGGAGAGAGGAGAGAGAGGGAAACATGGATGTGAGAGAGAAACATCCATCAGTTCCCTTCTCTACGAATCATGACTGGGGATGGAACTCACAAACTAGGTAATTTCCAGGAATCAAACCCACAACTTTTTTGGTGTATGAGACGATGCTCCAACCAATTGAGCCACCTGACCAGGGTGAGCTTAGTCCTTTTTTAAGGAATCGCCTGATTAGGTTAGGCCCACAAGAATAATTTCCCCATCTTAAAATCAACTGATTCAGACCTTAATTATATTTGCCAAATTCCTTCACAGCAGCACCTATATTCACTTGAATAAATAGGAGAAGGAATATGTGCATGCAGGATTAAGAATCTTACAAATTTATTACAAAATATTATGACTTCGATAAAAATGGACAGAAATCTATAGACTTCATAAAAAAGCATGAGATTTAAATCTCAAATTGTGTGGATGATGAAGAATTATTTCATTACAATGGAATTCTTTGTTAAGCATTCAATTAGAAGATTAAGGGGTATTTTCCCAAGCAATAATTTGAGGAATGCAATGTGAACCCTTGGAAATTAAAATAGAAAGAAAGCTAAAATTAACCCCTCATATGCATTGGGATGAGGCAATCTGCATTCCATGAAATCCAGTTTTTCATATCCATTATACCTTCATTAAGCTTGATTATTCAGTATATTCATGGCATGATTTTTTCAAAGATGTAATCAATAAAAATATGCGATAATTTGAATAATTTGGTAATTTTGCTTTTTGCAATATTTTAGATTGAAAGACATGTATCTTGAAGAATACATAGAGCAGTATGAATTGTTAATGATCAGAGTTGGGATCTTCATTTCCTCAGCAACCATGCTCTAACCTGAGGGCTTCATATGTGAGTTCTATATATGTGAGTTAGCAAAAGCCCCCCTCTACTCCACATGGATCTACCTTTTTCTAGAAAGGCCTTCCCTGAAGGCAGCAACTTTGGCTCACTCAACAGTTAACCACATGCCTTTATAATTTTATCTACAAGCTCCAAATATTTCCTTTTTCAAGATTATTTTTCTGCTTCATATTTTTATTGATTTTAGAGAGGAAAGAAGAAAGAGAGAGACATCAATGATGAGAAAGTCATTTATTGACTGCCTTCTTCATGCCCTCTCCTGGGGATCAAAACCACAAACTGGGTATGTGCCCTTGACCAGAATTGAACCCAGGACCCTTCAGTCTTCAGGCTGATGCTTTATTCACTGCGCCAAACCAGTTAGGGCTTTTTGCTTCCTTGTAGGTATATTTACACAAATGCAGGTAGAGACATGTGATTGTTTTACAAGCACCAATTTACAGATAGATTATGGTCTCATAACTCTTCATAAAGACAGTTTTTGAAGTGTAAAATATACTATCTGATTTTAAAAGAAATTATCTGTTAGCTTCTGGGCCAACTAAGATGTCTATTTAACTCCTAATGTAACTGAACAAAGGTGCTAAGTGCACTAACTTCCTGGGAGCCATTTGGTGCAGAAAAATGCTCCTCTTTCTCCAAGCTGGTTCCCACCTCTGGAGGAAAGATCTTATAGAACCAAAATGCAGAACTCTCCTTTCACCAGTGAAAATCATCATTCCCTCTGAGCCACTAATATCAGGCATTTGTTACAGAAAAGCATCCTTTTGTGGGGACCTAATGCATGACTATTTTAGAATGACCATTTAATAATAAAAATAATAAGAACAAGAGCTACTATTTATTAAGGGCTGACTTTATAGGAGTTGTTGATATCTTGTAATCTTTCATCCTCTAAACCAGTGGTTCTCAACCTTTCTATTGCCGTGACCCTTTAATACAGTTCCTCGTGTTATGGTGACCCCCAACCATAAAATTATTTTTGTTGCTACTTCATAACTGTAATTTTGCTACTGTTAATGAATTGTAATGTTTTCCAATTGTCTTAGGCTCTACCACAGCTGTTCTCAACCTGTGGGTCATGAGAACCAATAGCAGGGCTGACATCAGAAAACAGAGATATTTACATTACGATTCATAACAGTAGCAAAATTACAGTTATGAAGTAGCAACAAAAATAATTTTATGGTTGGGAGTCACCACAACACGAGGAACTGTATTAAAAGGTCAGAGCATCAGAGAGGTTGAGAACCTCTGCAAACACTCTTGTCAGTAGAGTTATTTATCTTCATTTTACAGGCAAATAATTTGCTCAATTCATACAGTCAGTCGGCACTAATTTTTGCCACTAGTACTCAGAAGCCCATCTTTCTCTGAGATATCAAACTTCCCTTTGAGAGTGATTTTTTCCCCCCTTCAGAACAAGCTTCCTATTCACCCAAATGAATAATGTGTGAAATTTCAAGCAACATTAAAAAAAAAGTGAGTAGAAACCCAGAAGAGGAGTTGGCATCTGAAGTGGGGCCAGGGTAGCCTGAAGGGGATGAGCCCTTCACCCAGGGGATCTGTGCTAATTCTGATTACTGTCAGCACTGAACTGAACTGTAGGACACCTGGTGCTCCAGAATTGTTTGGGGGAAAGCCCCATACAGCCCGTGTCAAAGTGTTGTGAAAGTGAAGAAAAACACAAAGGTTTTAAAAATTCCTTTAAGTCTTCACCTGCCTGGACAAATGTTCGGAAGGCATCCTATATTGTAGATATGGCCTCATCTTTTAGAGTAGAAGAATTTGGCTTCAGTCCTGCTAGTAACTTTTAACATGTATCATGAGAAATTTATATGACTTTTCTGAATTTCAATTGTCCCACCTAAAAACAGTGACAAAAAATATGGCCCAGAGATGTGAAGCAATGACGTGAGTAATGAAGGACTCTAGCACATATTAAATTTATTCTGTGGGCCAGGAGTATTCATATGGGTTATCTCATGTAGTTGTTGCCACAGCTTTTTTTGAATTAAAAAAAATATTTTGGCTTGAAAATTATAAACAAATAAACCAAAGAACAAAAACAAAAACAAGAAAAGCAGTTTTAATATCATAACAGTTAAGCTCTGATTCCAGATTTCCTCAAATCCCAACTCCTCACTTTACTACCTGGCATAATGTACAGCCAGTTACTTTTTTATCTATGAAATGAAGATAATAATAATAATAGTATCTAACAGTATCTAAACACTATGAGATTGCTGAAAAATTAAAAAAAAAGTAAAATTGATCATTTTCACAAAGCTTAGTAATCAGTAAGAATCATGAAGGTTTTATTTTGCTCTTTTGATATTAATTCTGTTTTTTTCAATATATTAGAGAATGGGCTTGGCAAATTAACAAATTGTTTAAAATGAGTATTCAGAATGAAATTAAAATGTAAAATGTAAATGTTTGCAAAGACTTTCCCAGGATGATATTTTCCTTTAAAGAATAAAAATGGAGAGGAAGAATCTAATTTTTGCATTTAGTTAGCAATGACAAACATAATGTGCTATAGGAAGAGAGAGATATGCAGACTTATGGGAAAAGGACAATCTCAGATGAAGTCATTTAGTATTTTATTTATACAATGGAAATAATTAAGATTTTAAGGGAGTAATTCTCCCAATTAATACATTTTTAAAGAGTAGGGGTTTGGATATTACTAAAAGCAAGTGAATATTCACAGCAAAGTTCAAACACTAAAGATATCTCTGAGATGTAGAGAACAGGGTCACTAAACCCATAGAGAAGAGACCTAAGGTTCCATAGAGCAGAAACAGTGAATTTATGGGCCAATTATATTTGACAAGGGTCCCCATTGTATTTCTTGTTCCTTGAGAAGTAGGAATGGTGAGTGTGATTGTAGAACATATTGTAGACTTAATGTAGGTGAGATATAGGATGTCATGGCACTGGTTTTCCCCTCTCTCTGAAAGTGGAGCATTCCTATGACACCTTTGATAAGCATAAATGGCAAAAAGGGAGGAAACATTTATCAATAATTTGTAAGGAACATTTTTGTTCATTCCCAGGCCCCCAAAATAACTTACCAGATCATACCAAATAACACATAAAAGTAAACTAAAAGTAACTAAAAGTAACACCTACATGAATTAAGAACAGAAATTATAGTGGTAAATACATGGCCGGTATAAACTAGATTGAGCTTGGTGATGCCACTTTTGACGCTCACTGCAAAACAAACACTGAATGCTATTTTTGCTTTTCATGTTTTTCTTTTGTTTTTTTGTTTTTTTATAAAAGTGAAAGTCCTCTTTGAATTTCTTTCAGTTAACAAAAGCAGATACTAATGTAGATTTTTTTGGAAAGTGTAGTGGCATATCATGAACTTTTGAAAAGTGGGGATACCAGAAATTATTAAGCTTTTGTTTTGCCTCAGTCCTTAGATTCACTTGTTAGTGTGACCTGCCACCTCCTGCAAATCCCCTAAATCCTGGATTAGTATTCCTTGAATTTATCTTAAAGGAACCATAAACCTTTGATGATTCCTACTGTCCCCTTTCTTTAACAATAAATATTATGGGTGCCCTAAACAAGAGCATTGATTTCCAAAATGATTCCTATAATTTACTTCCCTAAAACTGAACACATTCTTATAAATACAGATATTCATTAGAAAAAATGATTTTGGCTATCTATAATCACGAGACTTCATATTCTTTAAAGAATAATTTGGGGAATGTGAATATGAAAGGTTGGAACTACTGCTTTATATGAACATGGGATATACAGTTTCAGAATCAACAAAGTTTAATAAGCAAAACATTAATGCTAAACAATTAGATATGTTTACTCATTCATGTGTTCACCAAATATTTACCGAGTGCCAATTATGTGTGAAGCATTCTAGACCTGTTCTCAGGATCTCAGAGAAGCTTTGACAATTGCAATGTGCTCACTAAAGTGCTGATACAAATGTGGGTTTTATTAGTGGGGAAGGAAGCCAAGGAAAGTGCATTAACTTAGTGGCCAATCTAGAGTCAAGTTCTCATCTCTGACATGTCCCCGGTGGAGCCCTGGCCTCCTGGAGCCTCTGCAGGAGTCTGGGAAGACTGGACTTGAGGAGCTGCGTAGTGCAGCTCTCCGGCTCTGTCATTACACTGCTCTGTAGACCTGGGAGGCCTCTTCATTTCTGTTTCCCTCAGATTTCTCACTTTAAAGTCATAGTTAACAACACCTCTTCTACTGATCTCACAAGAGTGTCCTGGCTATTAAATGAAATAACATAAATATAACTGTTTTGAAATGGCATAAATGGTGAAGTATTATTGTCATCATGGATGTTTAAAGTCACTATTTTAATTATGTATAGTTATATTAAGAAATTTTATTTTCCCTCTCCTTTGCGTGTAGCAAACCCCATTTGAAAACAAACAAACAAACAGAAACAACTTGAAATCATAGCTTTCTTTTTTCTTAATATTTAATAGAAAAATTTTAAGACAATAGACATGTTTTTCCCCCAATCCGGGTCTCCTGTTATCTTTCTTCCCCTAAGAAGTCCTGACAGTTCTATGATGAAGGCAGGTGCCTCTATAGTTACTGGCCTCCCAATCTGCATTAGTTCCCAGGGACTAACTTTAAGGTACAAGGAAAAGCAACTAAAGGGAAAGTACCAAAGAAGCTAAATTTTGTCAGATTGCTAATAGGCTTTTCAAAAACAAATGAACACCTTTCCCCGAACCCCAAAATCAGAATCAATCAGAATGCAAGGTAATATATTTCTCGTTAACTTCTAAAATCCCAACTATTTGAAATTGACAATGTGCAGTCATGCTCACAATGATCTTTAAATACAAAAACACTAATTTCAAATACAGAGATTAATTACTCCAGCTGTTATAACAACTTCAAACATCTCACAAAATCCAGTGGAGATTCAATCCACTGAGGACACCTTGTAGGAACCTCTGACAAACCAGGAATCTAGCCACTGACACACAGCACAGCAAACAAGTCATTTACAAAACAAAGCTGAACTTACCGCAACATCATCCACAGGAGAAAAATATGTGCTTGGAAGCATGCACCCACTGAACTCGACTTCCTAATCAACTATATGACATCTCTAGTATATTAAAGGTCTACAGCTACAAGAAATAAGGAAACAAATTACAAGTAGTTGAAATGAAACTAGTTTGACAAGTCTGAACAGAGAAGTCTCAACCCATAGAACAGCTTGAAGAGCTCAGAGACAGCATAGTCCCAACAAGAAAGCAATATCTTTTTTTTTTTTTTTTTTTTTTTTTTTTTTTAGTATTGACTAATTTCATCAAAGGAGAAGAAACTGGTTGGAAGGATTTGAATGAGAAACACCTAAGGAATGCAGTAGGATTAAGAGTTTAAAGAAGATTACTGGTAGGTATACAGATATCTTAAAAAAGCCTTCACATAAATGCTTTAAATAAAAACAACCAGATATTCTTAAAACTTATATTTATAAAATAACTCAAGAAATATTCCTTACATTTTTTTTTGTTGAAAAGAGCTATCTCCATGTGTCACAAGGATATAGTGAATTTATTAATACATAATAATTTTTCTTTTAAAATATCTACTTCTGAGAGTTTTTAAATAAGTTTATATCAAATCAGATTTTCCCCAAAATGATTTTACATAATAAATTTATATTACAATTTACATTTATGTTGTACTAGTGTATATTACACAAATATGTCTTTCTATATATGGAGAGAGATTTATCAGCATAAAGAAAACAAAAAAAGAGATAAGAGAAACAAATAACATTTTTGAAAATTTTTAATTAGAGCATTAGATAAATAACATAAATACCTGCTCTTTGTGAATAGTGAAACATTAGAAATGAGACTAAAGTCCTGTTTGATCTTGTCCTAAAAAGACCTCTCTTTTTACAGAACATACTAAGTATTTACACACACACTTATATCTGTAAAAAAAACACATGAAAAAAAAATTAAAAGCATCATATTCACCCATTTTTTTGGAGCCCCCCCCCCCCCCCCCCACTTAGTATTTTGAAGATCTTCCTAGGTCAGGAAATACAGATCTATCTTCTTCTTTAAAAAAAAAAATAAATCTTTATTGTTGCGATTATTACAGATGTCCCCCCACCTCCCATTGCCTTCCTCCACCCAGTTCCTGCCCCACCCCAGGCCTTCAGCACCCTATTGTCTGTGACTATAAGTAGGGCATATATGCATATAAGATATTTGTTTAATCTCTTCCGGCCCCTTCTCTCTGAGAACTGTCAGCCTGTTCCATGTCCATGCCTCTGATCCTATTTTATCCTCCAGTTTATTCACTAGATTTCTTATTCATTTATTTTGATTTTTAGATTCAGTTGATGATAGGTATGTATTTGTTGCTATTTTGTTGTTCATATTTTTTTTTTAATCTTTTTCTTTTTCTTCTTCTTCCTCTTCTTAAAGAAAACCCTTCAACATTTCACATAATATTGGTTTGGTGATGATGAACTCACTTAGCTTTTCCTTCTCTGTGAAGCTCTTTATCTGATCTTTAATTCTAAATGATAGCTTTGCTAGGTAGAGTAATCTTGGTTGTAGGTTCTTGGTATTTGTCACTTTGAATATTTCTTGCCATTCCCTTCTGGCCTGGATAGTTTCTGTTGAGAAATCAGTTGACAGTCGTATGGGTACTCCCTTATAGGTAATTAACTGTCTTTCTCTTGCTGCCTTTAATAGTCTCTCTTTGTCTTTAGCCCTTGGCATTTTAATTATGATGTGTGTTGGTGTGGTTATTTTGGGTTCCTCTTGTTTGGGACTCTGTGCTTTCTGGACTTGTAAGTCTATTTTTTTCAGTAGGTAGGGGAAGTTTTCTAACATTATTTCTTCACATAGGTTTTCAATATCTTGCTCTCTCTCTTCTGTTGGCATCACCACAATGTGAATGTTGGTATGCTTGAAGTTGTCCCAGAGGCTCCTTACACTATCTTCATATTTTTGGATTCTTATTTCTTTTGCTTTTCTGGTTGGATGTTTTTTTCGTCCTCATATTTCAAATAATTGATTTGATTCTCAGAACCCTCTACCGTTGAATACCTGTATATTATTCTTTATTTCAGTCAATGTATGCCTAATTTCTTCTCACTAAGATCATTGAAAGTTTCCCTAAGTCCCTTACAGATTTCTAGAAGATTCTTGAGTAACCTTACAACTGTGGGTTTGAACTCTTTATCATACCTTTCTTCCATTTCTTTCATTTGTGAATTGTTTCTTTGTCTCCACATTTTGGCTGTTCTCCTGTGTTTGTTTCAATGTACTGAGTAGCTGCTAAGTCTCCTTGAGTTGATAGAGTGGCCTTGTGTATAAGATGTCCTATAGGGCCCACTAGCTCTCAGCCTCTCCAGTCACCTGAACTGGTGCACCCCTTTGTGGGCTATGAGTCCAGTCTTGTTACAGTTGAGCCTTTATTGCTATTGGCATCACTGGGAGAAATTGACCTCCAGGCGAATTGGCTATGAGGACCAGCTGTGACTACAGTGGGAGAGCTACCATTCAGGAAACACCCCTATGGAGCAGGATTTGCTTCAGTGGGGCTTTGGTGCTCACTGAGTCTGCCCCTTGAGTATGTCGCTTATGGATGTGTAGAGTTATAATCTGGTATGGTCTGACATTGACCACTGGGTACACTGGCTGTGTGTCTCTAGAGAGGTGTAAAGTCAGCCACGGCCCCGGGCCACAGAGAGATCTATAGACTCTTCCTCTTTGTATTGGATATGGAAGTGCTCAGAGGAGGCCCAGCTGTGAAGCAAGGCAGGCTGGTGCTTGTTCCAGGTCTTAGGCCTTTTATTGACAGGCTTGAGGCTCCCTGACCCAGCTGCAGCTTGTATGAGATTTTCAAGGACAGGCCATTTATATGCAAAGGCTGCTGCAGGCAGCTTGGGTGGAATTGTATACAATAAATTGAATGAGGTGGTATTTTAGGGAATCACCAGAGCAGAGCAAACAGAAATGGCTGCCAGTCAGCCCTGCAACCTGGGAGGTCCCTGCACAGGAACAATGATCCCTGGGAGTACCTCTGTCTGAGAGAGAGCCACCCACAAGTTCCTGCCCTGATGCTAGACAAATTTATCCCTCAGATCCTCTCCCTGGAGCTGGAACCTAGAGAAAGCAGGACCTTGTAAGTTCACTTCATGATACTGTCCTTTTAAGAGGAATAGCTGGGGCTCCAGCAGCCTCTGTGTCACTGTTTTTTATAGTGGATAGTTATGGGGACTTCTTTTCCCAGCTCTGAGACCCTGGACTGTGGGGGTCTCGTGTGGGGCTGGGACTCCTGGCTCCTCTGCTTGGCCTTTGCAGAGATGATCTCCCTCCTGATTAAAAAAGCAGCACAGGTGGGTGCCAGACCAGCCTGTTCTGTGCCTCTGCACTCCTACCAGTCTCAGTGTGCTTTCAGCCAGCTTTCCAGTGGTTCTGGATTAGGGGTGTCGAACTCAATCAGAGAAGGGGCCAAAATCTAAAATCCAGCCTAAATCGCGGGCCAAATGGTTTGCTGAACAGTCATAAACTGTCATTGTGATGGAAACGCAGCGGAGTGCAGTGATGACAGCTCGGTGCGGGCCACATTGCAAGGCCTGACGGGATGGATTTGGCCCCCAGGCCTTGTGTTTGACACGTGTTCTGGATGATGGTTGCTCTGTATTTGAGTTGTAATTTTGATGCGGTTGTTGGAGACAGTGAGTATAGGTGCTTACCGATGCCACTATCTTGGTTCTCCCTACCTTCTCTGTTTGACGACTATATGAAGTATGAACACCCTGCTTAGCCTTGATTATAATCTTACAACTAAATTGTACCCATTTAAAGGGAAATACTATTCAAACAAAGGTTTTTTTTTCAGTTATTGCTTCTAACACATTGGGAGAGGACATTTGAAATAATTTTAGTACTGTGCATATCATGCTGTACATGGACAAACTCTTTAGAATTAGAGTGCCAGTGTTCAAATTGTAGTAGTCTATAAAATAGAAATAATACTAGTGACTACCTTATAGGGCTTTTTGAAGTACAAACGTGTTAATATGGGTAAAATGCTTGGATTAGTGCCTTGTGCAATGGAAGCATTACAGAAACATCAGCTAATCTTGTTAGAAGTCCTTGACTTATTTGTATATATTTCCTTAGCTAATGTTTTTCAGATAAACCCTTAGGGAAGCTCATTCGATTGAACTAACAAGGAAGAAGCACACATAGCTACACCTTCCCTTCCTTTCTGTTTCCTTTCCTTCCATCTTTTCCCTCCTTGTCATTCCCCTCCCTCCTCTCCCACTGACATAGTGCTTCAAGGGATAGCAAACAGAGGCATGGACTTAGAATGGAATTCTGACTTTTTAATAGTAGGTGAACTTCAACAGTCTACAAAAACCCTTTCAGCATGTGCTCTCCTGTATGAAACAAGCTGATACCATTTGTTTACCACTTTTGTGAGAATTAAATAACATAATGTATGTGGCACTGCCTAGCACACTGTCTGGTACTAAATAGCAACTTCCACTGTAGGGGGCTGAAGGCCTGGTTCCTTTCCCAAGCCCAGACTTTGGAGGAAAATACACATTACTAGTAGTATGCTGGTTAATTACCAATTATTTGGAGATTTTTCAGTTATCTTTCTGCTTTTGAGCTCTAGTTTAATTCCATTTTTTGAGAATATAATTTATATAATATCTATGTTAAAATTTGTTAATTTTAATAGATCTATTGGTGAATTTCCATGTAAATTTGAGAGTAATGTAAATGTATATTTTTAAAAAATAAAAAAATAAAACACACCTTTGTCTGTAAATCCTGGCTCCCTGACACTACTGCTGGTTGGCCCTTTCTGCACCTAAACTTCCGCCTCTGGGCATGGAATTCATAATAGCTTTCCAGACTGTTGTAAGAATTAAGTGAAAGAATGCATGAAAAATGCTCCCCACACTAGTGGCACATGTAAGAACTGAATCGTTAACGGTATTAAGATAGCATGGTGACTGCACCAATGTCAGCATGGCAAACATAGCAGGAAGTTTGCTTAGTCAGCCTCTATTAGCCCTGATGTCTGTCTTCTTAGCTTTCTGGTCTTTGTTTGCAGGAAGGTAGAGGACTAAATGGCTAAATTCAAGAATTGGTAGTGAGAGTTGTATAAACCATCAGCTAACAAAAGGCAATATGGCATAGTGAACAAGAAACATACAACTT